GAGGGGACCTCTCCCTCCGCAGATCCCCGTGCTCCTGAACCTGAGTCAGGACCCCGAGGTCAGCCTGCCGGCGCCGCCCCTCATGTATGCGCTGGCCCTGGGCGCCTGCCTGGGAGGTAAGGCCCTGCGCGGGGAGCGGGACGTCGGTGCCCCACGGAGGGGAAGCAAGGGACTCGGGTGACGTTCGGCTCAAGTTAGCATTTTCCCGCTCCGCGTCTGGCCCACGGGGCTCCCACACTGCCCCTGAGCTCGCAGGGCTCCTGCTAGAGACAGATTTAACTCAGAAGCCCTCCTCAGTGCAGGTTTCTCGTCCCCTCCTTACGCCGTTGGGCATGAAAGGATGACCGCTGGCCTAGAGGTGGAGATCGTTTGGGGTTTTTTAAATATTTATTTTATTGATTCAAGCGAGGAAGGGAGAGAGAGAGAGAAATGTCCATGCTGAGAGAGAATCACGGATCGGCCGCCTCCTGCACGCCTCCTGCTGGGGGTTGAGCCTGCAACCCAGGCCCCTGCCCTGGACCGGGAATCGAACCGTCACCTCCTGGTTCCTAGGTCGACGCTCGGCCACTGAGCCTCGCCGGCCGGGCAGCAGGCTAATGTTTAAGTCGATCGTGTTGTATGGCCCCTGAATGAGGCTCTCAATATCCAACGGCCCCTTGGTGGGAAGAAGGCCCCCCCGCCCACCCGCAGGAAGCGCTCATTGTTTAGAATATCGATGACTTGGATGTAGAGCACGAAGACCCCAGACTCCGCCTTTGCTCGTGTCTCAGGGGTGTGTCTTACGTGCCCTTGATTCGGCTCCCGCGCCTGGCGACCCTGTGTGAGTGGCGGCCGCAGCAGCCCATCCTCAGCGGCCCACTCAGCTCCCGGGACCCAGCCCATGGCTTCTCTCTCGGAGCCCGTCCGTCTTGCGCTTGGCCTTCCCCCCGTCCTGCCGCCTTCTACTTCTCAGCATCATTGTCTGTCCCCAGCGTTCCGGGCGGAAGAGGACAGACGCTACCACCACGGCCCACGCGGGCTTGGCCTTATTATTAAATCTGGTTTCAGGCAACGGGACGCTGATTGGGGCGTCGGCCAACGTCGTCTGCGCGGGGATTGCCGAGCAGCATGGATACGGCTTCTCCTTCATGCAGTTTTTCAGGTACTTTCCAAACTCTGTCTGTGTAGAGAGAGTCTCATGTTTTTGTTTTTGTTTATTTCTTTAAAAAGAGCAACGCATTTCTTAAGCGCAAGGGGCAGGCATGTTTGCAGCAGTTACGGAGTCTTGTGTAGCTGCAGTCAGTGCAGAGAAAAACCCCATGAACAAAGGGGCCCGGCCGGCGTGGCTCAGTGGTTGAGCATCGTCCTATGAACCAGGAGGTCACGGTTCCTGGTCAGGGCACAGGCCCGGATTCTCTCTCATCATGGGTGTTCCCATCTCTCTCTCCCTCGCCCTTTCTCTCTCTCAAATCAATAAAGAAATATATTTTTTAAAAAGGAGCCCCAGCCAGTTTGGCTCAGCGGATAGAGCATCAGCCTGTGGACCAAAGGGTCCCGGGTTCAATTCCGGTCAAGGGCACGGTTCTGTTTTTGTCGGGGGCCCTCAGGAAATAAAACCGCAGGGGAAGGAAGGGAACGAAGAAAGAAGAAAGAACTTTGCATGTGAAAGTGCTGCGGGCAAGTCCTTTTTGATCTCACCCCCTAAGAAACGATTCTATTTCCATCAGCAGGGAATTGGGCCGTTCTTGCTTCACACACTCCAACTGAGCAACTGTCCCCCTTTAAGTTTCAAGATGACCCTTTAAGTGCAAGGAATACAGGGTATTTGAGATAGGGTTCATTTTTCCTTCCTTGTGTGATGAAATGTCTAGTGTGTGGCATGGGTTAAACTCCACAGCTCTGAGCAAAATAGCCATGTTGAGATGTGCAAACCCTTTTCCGTAGACAAAGGTAGAGGGTGAAACTTCACCGTTCTTTTAACATTTTCTGGGTGTCTGTGGGTTTGATAATGAACTCTTTTCTTTCTTTTAAAAGACCGAATGAGCAAAGCCTTTGATAGTTGTTTCACATTCTGCTAATTTCTGCCATATTCTCTCTATTCTATTTTTAAATCTCACCCCAGGATGTGGTTTTTTTTAAGTTGATTTTAGAGAAAGAAAGGGTGAGAGAGAGAGACATAAGTTTGTTGTTTCACTTTCATTGGTTGCTTCTTATATGTGCCCTGATGGGGGATCGGACCTGCAACCTTGGTGTATCAGGAAAATGCTCTAACCAAATAAGCCATCTCTGGCCAGGCTGCTATTTTATTTATTTATTTTTATTTTATTTTCGAGAGAGAGAGGAATAGGGAGGGGAAGAGAGAGAGAGAGAGAGAGAGATCGGCTGCCTCCTGCACCAGGCTGCTATTTTATTTATTTATTTTTAATTTTATTTTTGAGAGAGAGAGAAGAAGGGGCAGGGGGAGAGAGAGAGAGAGAGAGAGAGAGAGAGAGAGAGAGACATTCATGAGAGAGACACATAGATCGGCAGCCTCCTGCCCTCCCCCTACTGGGGATGGAGCCCGCAACCCGGGCATGTGCCCCGACTGGGCATCGAACCAGCGGCTCTCACCAGACGGCAGGTCCCACAATGCACCTGTCTTTGTGTTTCAGGTTGGGCTTCCCCATGATGGTGGTCTCCTGCATGGTGGCGATGTGCTACTTGCTGGTGGTCCACGTTGTGATGGGGTGGAGTTAACAGGGACACCTCCTCTGAAGACCGAGGGGAACCTGACCGTCACCCGCGTCTGGAGAACACTCCCCCATGGACCTCTCTTGGGAGGAGGAGAGGTGCTTACATGGGGGTGCGACGGAGTGTGGACCTTGGCACCCACATTCCTTATCCGGCTGGATGCTGGCCAAACATGGCCGATAGAAATATGGGTCACTTCCCCAAGACACCCCGACAGGAAAGACGTGCGTTTCGGGACCCTCCTTGTCGGAAAAGGCACCAATGCCGTCACCCACCCCAAAAGGTCTGTGTTGCTCAGGGTCCCTTCGCCCGAGGCCGTCCACAGGTTTCCTTCGTGTCATCACTGTTCATATTAGAGTAATGAGCGAACTGTGTCCCCTCCGAAGACACGCTGTTCCTTGGGAAGGCCTACGCCTTGTAAGGCAGCAGTTTATGTATTAAAAAAATAAATGAATAAACTCTCCCTTGGCAAATGGTCTTGGAATTTGCTAACCCCATCACATGGGTAGTTTACATTATGCAACATGGCATTTCACGCCTGCGTTTCTCTCTGGAGTTATTCAGTCATCAATTAAAACTCTAGAAATCCGGCCTGGACGGGGTGGCGCAGTAATTGAGTACCGACCTAGGAACCAGGAGGTCACGGTTCAATTCCCCGTCAAGGGCACATGCCGAGTGGCAGGCTTGATCCTCAGTGTGGGGCCTGCAGGAGGCAGCTGATCCATGATTCTCTCTCATCATGGATGTTTCTATCTCTTTTCCCACTCCCTTCCTGGAATCAATAAAACACACGCGTACACACACACACACACACACACTTATATTACAAGATAGAAGATAGCTATGCACGTTCAAAGGCATTTAAACTTTGCCCCAGCCCTGACCGGTTTGGCTCAGTGGATAGAGCGTCGGTCTCAGACTGAAGGGTCCCAGGTTCCACTGCAGTCAAGGGCACCTGCCCGGGGTGGCGGGCTCGATCCCCAGTGCGGGGTGTGCAGGAGGCAGCTGATCAATGATTCTCTTATCATTGATATTTCTATCTCTCTCCCTCTCCCTTTTCCTCTCTGAAATCAATAAAAATAAAAACATTTAAAAAAAAAAAGAGAAAGAAAGAAACTGAAGCCTTATCATGAGTATAGGGTGCTGTGACTCAAAGTTATGTAGCTCTTCAGGACTGGGGTTGGGATTAGGGTCCGGCATGGCTCCAGCTGTGGGTGAGAGAGTTTTTTGGACATCTAAATTTTTGTTGGGTCCAAGGGTTTTTATGTGTAGAGACGATCACTTAACTTCTTTATTTTAAAACTTCAATCATAAAGTTCAGAAACCAATCAATTAAACTTTGATAATTAAAACAGACTTGCTAGTTCAGTAAGTACAATAGGAAGTAAATTGCATTTATTTTCAGCAGACTCTCAGAGGTGGGGCCTGAGAGGCTGTGTTTCTAACGGCTTCCGGAAGATGCTAGTGTCTCTGGACCACACTTTGAGCAGCAAGGGCTGACAAAGATTGCCGCAGGACAGAAAAGGGACTTTTCAGTGCCTTGTTTGTCTGAGAGCCCAATGTTACCCACATTTTTCATTGGTGGGGTCATGTGAATTATCCAGCAAACTATCATGTGAGCTTCTTGTTCCTGCCAAGTGAGTCATTTGAACTGAGCCGGTTCATTTACTGGAAAAGACCCAGCTTCGCTCCAACACAAAGGGCCAGTGTATTGTGCCAGCATGGTTTGCACAGGGAAAACACTTATGATGAAGTGATAGGATCACAGTGATGTTTACCAGAGATCATGCCAGACTCTTAAGTAGCAGTAATGGATTCCCTAGGAGATTGATGCTGCCTGTATAATCTGAGTGGCTGAAGTATTGCTAGTCTAGTTAAAGTAATTTTTACAAAAACTTGTTTTTCCTAGAGTGAAAGATGAATTTTTGCATGAACACTGAAAATACAGTTGAGTTCGCCATTTAAAATATTTGCTCATATTAGAATTTTAATTGTTAAAAATGTACTGTCTTTTTTTTATATTTTTAAATACATGAACTGTGATCCTAAGGCAGGATCCTACACTAGAAGGAAAAGTGCTGTAAAAAAAGATCACTGGGTCAGTTGACAAAAAATGAATACAGGTAGTAGGATAAAAATATTGTATTGTTATTTACCAAAGTTAGCACTAATAACGTGCGGCGACTCTCTCTCATCATGGATGTCTCTCTCTCTCCCTCTGCCTTCCCCTCTGAAATCTATAAAAATATAATAGAAATGAATAAATAAAAATTAAAACGTTAAAAAAAAAAAGAGCCCGCCGGGGCGTGCGATGGAGAATTACATGCATTTCAAGTTCACATTCCAGACGCGCCCTCCGCCTCGCCTGGAGAGCCTTCGGACACAGACGGAGGGGCCTGGAACGCGGAGTGGAACGATCCCGTCACCGGTATTTTGTTTATGGCTTTAAAAACGTATTTGTATTCATTTCCGAGAGGAAGGGAGAGGAGCAACGTCCAGGATGAGAGAGACTCGTGGGTCAGCCGCCTCCTGCACGCCCCGCACTGGGCATCGAGCCCACAACCCGGCAGGTGCCCCGACCGGGCATCGAGCCGCGACCTCCTCCTGGTTCCTAGGTCGTCGCTCGGCCCCTGAGCCCCGCCGGCCGGGCTGAATGTTAAGTTTTACGAAAAGAGTTGAGAGCTTTCTTGAAGGTGCTCAGAGCTGAGTAACTGAGCCTGTGGGTTCAGGTCACAGGATCCGGAGCCCTTGCCCGGCCTGAAACGCGGTAGCCCTGTCGGCCGCCGTCCAGCACCGAGGGGCGATCTCCGCTCAGATAAGGAAGGTGGTGAGAGCAGTGAGAGTTAGCGGCCGGGGCCTGGCTTCCTTCCTGGAGGCGGTTTCCGTACGAAGAGGAGATAAAGGAGACGTGGAGTCCGGGCTCACGTATCTGTCCTGGTGCCCGGGGTGCACTGTACCCCGATGGGCGGCTCTCCCTTGGGGTTGGGTGGAGTCTGGGGCTGGACTCACCTGCAGGCTTGACTGACCGGCTGCAAGGTGCCTCTCCACTCACCTGTGTGTTGGGGGAGGGGGGCAGCGGGAGCGGCTGGGAGCGTGCGGAGCCCCTCTCTCCTCACCCCCCAACCAACTGAGCCACACTGGACGGGCATCATGATTGTTTTCAGCTTCAGTTTTCACGTAATTCTTTTCTTCAGCTTGTAAACCACTGCCTTCTTTTTTTTAATTTTTAAAATACATTTTTATTGATTTCAGAGAAGGGAGAGAGAGAGAAACATCCATGATGAGAGAGAATCATGGATCAGCTGCCCCCTGCACGCCCCCTACTGGGGATCGAGCCCACAACCTGGGCATGTGCTCTTGACCAGAATCGGACCCAGGACCCTTCAGTCTGCAGGCCGACACCCTATCCGCTGAGCCACACAGGCCAGGGCAACCTCCGGCTTCTTGCTTTCCTGACACGTGTCTCACTCTGTCCTAGGTACCTCCTACCTAACAGACGTGGTGTGGTGGGCAGGCACGATCGCAAGTAAGTACCCTGTGTGTGTGTTGGGGGGGGGGGCGGCTTGATCTCCTTCCTCCCTCCCTCCCTTCCTTCCGTCAAGAAAATATATTTCATTGATTTCAGAAAGGAAGGGAGAGGGAGAGAGAGAAACGTCCACGATGAGAGGGAACCATGGACCGGCTGCCTCCTGCAGGCCCCCCACTGGGGATCGAGCCCGCAGCCCGGGCCTGTGCCCCGACCGGGGTTAGAACCAGCGACCTCTTGGTTCCCTGGTTGAAGCGCGACCCCCGAGCCACGCGGGCTGGGCTGCACGGCTCTTTCTGAAACAAGGACGTGTTGCCCCGGCCGATGCGAAGATGCTCCAGGTTTGGCTTCTCGCGAGGAGTGGACAAGAAGCAGCTTTCTCGGGGCAGGGCCTCTGCGAACTGGCGAGGGGCCCCGGTTCTAGTGATAACCCTTCGCTTCTCTCGGGTCTGATTCCAGTGGCTGTTGGCCAGATCGGGAACTTCCTGGCGTACACGGCGGTCCCCACGGTCCTGGTGACGCCCCTGGGTGCCCTCGGCGTGCCGTTCGGGTGAGAGCTGGGACTCTGTGTTTTGGTTTTTCATGTGTTGTTTATGTAAATAGATAGAAACGTTTTATTTTCAGTGTTTCTGGTCAAAGAGTAAAAGTGAAATTGTCACTAGAGAAAGTTCTTTGGTATTTCCCTCGACGTGGTTTAATTTATTCCTCCACGTTCAGTCGTGTGAATTACTACTTTTTAAATTCTCTCCTAAGGGTATTTTCTCCATTGATTCCTAGAGAGAGTAGAACGGAGAGAGAGAGAGAGAGACATTGATGTGAGAGAGACACATCGATTGGCTGCTTCCTGCTTGCTCCCTGACCGGGTCCGGGGATCGAACCTGCAACCCAGGGTCATGCCCTTGACTGGGAATCCAACCCGTGACCCTTCCTGGCCTGCACACCCTGCATTGGGGATCGAGCCCGCAACCCCGTAGGCCGCTGCTCTAACCACTGAGCCACCGGCTAGGGCTTAAGTGTTTTGATCATGAGTTACTTGTCATTATTTGAGCAATTTTAATATCCCACTTTCCTACCTAACATAGGTGTTTGATTATTATTTTTTTTTTAATAAGGTGCATTATTTTTATTTTTGTCCGTCGTAAAGCTCACTTTGCTGCTCTGGTGTATTTCATATCCACTGAATAGCAGGACGAGTTGAGCCGTTCCCTGTATATTGGCCAGGCGTAGAGTTCGTATGAAAGTCCTATTTGTGGTGAATTAGCTCCAAGAAGTTGCCCATCTCTCTACTCTTACGAACTGAAAAGTAAAATCCGGCTGCGAGGAAATGGGTTTTCTGAAGGAACTGCTGTGAGTGGGGACCGGGCCGAGGGTCCGACCCCAGCCCGGATCCCTCTTTTCTTGCTTCGAAGGTCCATTCTAGCCTCGTACCTTCTGAAGGAGAAGCTCAACATCCTGGGCAAGTTGGGGTGTCTGCTCAGCTGTGCGGGCTCCGTGGTGCTGATCATCCACGCCCCCAAATCCGAGAGTGTGACCACGCAGGCCGAGCTGGAGGAGAAGCTGACCAACCCAGGTGACCCCTCTGCCGCCCGCGAGCGCCGAGGCGTGACCCCGAGACCCCCTGCTGTCCGGGTGCGGAGTGGCCCTGTCTCCCGGCCCGGCCAGGGGTCCGCTCTGGGCCTCGAGCTGGGGCCACCCGTGTCCCGGCCCCGCTTCCCCCATATGACTTACCTTCACGGTCCCCACCGAGGTCCCTCTCTTTTTTCTGTGCATTTTAAAAAATACGTTTTCATTGATTTTTAGAAAGAGAGGAAGGGAGGGAGAGGGAGAGAGAGATGGAAACATCCCTGATGAGAGAGAATTGTGGATCGGCCGCCTCCTGCACATCCCCCACTGGGGATCAAGCCCACGACCCGGGCATGTGCCCTTGACCAGAATCGAACCCAGGACCCGTCAGTCCTCAGGCCGACGCTCTATCCACTGAGCAACACCGGCCAGGGCCCATGATTCTCTCTCATCGCGGATGTTTCTCTCTCTCTCGTCTCTGAGATCAGTAAACACGTTTTTTAAAGCCACAGTCAAACGAGCCGGGCGCTCGCTCGTGTCTTGCAGTGTTCGTGGGCTACCTGTGCATCGTGCTGCTCATGTTGCTGCTGCTCATCTTCTGGATCGCGCCGGCGCACGGGCCCACCAACATCATGGTCTACATCAGCATCTGCTCCTTGCTGGGCAGCTTCACCGTGCCTTCCACCAAGGGCATCGGCCTGGCCGCCCAGGACCTGCTGCACAACAACCCGTCCAGCCAGCGCGCCCTGTGCCTCTGCCTGGTGCTGCTGGCCGTGCTGGGCTGCAGCATCATCGTCCAGTTCAGGTACATCAACAAGGCGCTCGAGTGCTTCGACTCCTCCGTGTTCGGGGCCATCTACTACGTGGTCTTCACCACGCTGGTCCTGCTGGCCTCCGCCATCCTCTTCCGCGAGTGGAGCAACGTCGGCCTGGTGGACTTCCTGGGCATGGCCTGCGGCTTCACCACCGTCTCCGTGGGCATCGTCCTCATCCAGGTGTTCAAGGAGTTCAACTTCAACCTCGGGGAGATGAACAAAGCCAACCTGAAGGCGGACTAGGAGGCGGCGGGGGCGGGACGGGGCCCCGAGGAGCAGGCAACGGGTGTGGTTTCGGGACCTGATTTGAGGCGGAGGACGAGAGCCGCGACATGGCTGGCATTGGAGCTGGTGGCGCCTCGGTGGGTGTGTGGTCCGGGGACAGCGGGGCCTCCCTTATCCGGGCTCAGGTCGCTCCTGGGCGCCGTCTCTGAGGAGAGGGATCCGTGTTCATTGCCGTGACCCTGGAAGCTGTCATGAGTCCTCGTCCCTTCCAACCTCCTGACATTATTTCACGTAGAGAAGAAAGACGGCTCTTTCTGGTTCGTCCTTGACCAGAGGGTCCCGGAGAGCTGGCTCCGCACGGACATGGCCCGTAGGGTGTGTCGTTTTGCGTTGAGCCCCTCTGGCCTCACCCGCGTCAGCGGTCTGTGCGTTCACTTGTGTCTGATCCTCTCTGAGCTGGCTCTCCCTCCCCGGACACCGAGACGCGTTCGTGGCAGATGGAGCGAGAAGAGCGCTGGCTGGCAGTGCCGCGCTGTCGGGGCCGCTGGGTAACGTGAGTCAATTTCAGTGCCTTTATCACTCGAACTGTATTCACTTAGTTTGGCTGTGGCTGTGCGCCTGCTCCCTGGGCTTACAGTAACGCTTACGCCGTCGTGTCACCGTGCAGAACACGCGTGTGCACAGGGGCCGTAGGTAACGGCGTGCCCGTCTGTGGGCGGAGTCAGGACGGAAGACACCTGAGGGAGGGTTGGCCCGTTCGCTCGCCGTCGTTGCCCAGTAAAGAGGTGCCGGAGGAGCAGGCGGTCCCTCGTCCGTCCGCCTCCGTCTGTGCGGCTGGGATCCCGAACCCGATGAGGCCCACGTCCTCTGACTGTGAACGTCTGGCCGCTCAGAAGACGTGACTTCTGTCCCCTGATCGTATGGCTGTTAGACGGGAGGGTGCGTGGTCAGCGGCTCACCTGTGATTCGGGAACGAGGTGGAGGACCCAGTAAGGCCGAGGCCCGTCCAATTGGAACGAACACACAGCGAGTTTTCAAAGAGTTTCCAGCAAAAGAGGAAAAGGACAGGTTTGGCCTGCGCCCGCTGTCTGGGACAGCAGAGCCCCAGGGCCGCTCGCCCGCCTCTCCTTCAGCTTCTGAAGCGCCGCCTGGCCGCCGGCGAGGCCAGGATTTGGGTCAGAGACCCTCCGCGCGTGTTACCTGGGGCCAGGCCCAGAGCGGGCGACGTGTTTCACGGGAGACCGTGTCCTTCGCGGGCGAGGTTGTAGCGAAACGGACTGTGCCACGCTGGAAGGCGGACTGTGCCACGCTGGAAGGCGGGCTGTGCCACGCTGGAGGGCGGGCTGTGCCACGCTGGAAGGCGGACTGTGCCACGCTGGAGGGCGGGCTGTGCCACGCTGGAGGGCGGGGCTGGGGTGTGGACGCCATGCACCAGACGGCGGCATCGGGTGATCCCCAGTGAAAGTCATTCCCGAAAGAAAAAAACAGGCTTTTCCGGCCAAAACCAGAACTCAAGACCCATGGCAGGGCGTCCCCTCACCTGTGAACCAGGAGGCGGCCTGAAGTGCGACGGCCTAACAGAGCGAAGGGCCCATTTACGAGTTAAAAGTTCATGAGACGATCAGGCTCCTGAGCTGACAGCAGCAACGAAGTTATGTAAACATTAACAGTATCGATTTAATGGAAGGCACCGCACACGCAGACATCGACCCTCATCAGCTCTCCAAAGGTTGGTTTCCGATCATCAGCCGTTTTAGCGACCCAGGGCCCGTTCCCTGCCCGTGTGCGGGGAGGGTGACCGTCGGTGGACGGTCCGCTTACTTTGCGGCGACTTTTGTGTGAGGCTTAGCTGCAGGCCGGTTGGCGTTCCTTCTGCAGGAGGGGGTGTTGTCTGCGTGACCATCCCTATGGTTTTTTTTTGTAATATTGGTTTTCTTGTGTGTGCTTTTTTTGTATTTTTATTGCTTTCAGAGAGGAAGGAAGAGGGGGGGAGAGAGAGAGAGAAACATCCATGATTAGACAGAATCACGGATCGGCTGCCTCCTGCAGGCCCCGTACTGGGGATGGAGCCCACAACCCGGGCCAGTGCCCCGACCGGGAATCGAACCGTGACCTCCTGGCTCCTAGGCCGACGCTCAGCCACGGAGCCACACTGGCCAGGCCGTTGGTAAACTTGCCTTTTTTTGCAGAAGCTCATCCCAGCCGCCCGAGGTGGCTTTGTTCTTCCCCTTCGGTTTCCGGTTGATGGAAAGGGGACCATCGAAGGCTGTGGTCGCCTCTGGTTCCCTCTCTACAGCTCAGCTCTGTGCTGGCTCCGGGCCGGTTCCTAGACGGTTGGCAAAGCCCTCGAGACCCAGGTCTCCCAGGGGAGGGCGGCCACTTTGGCCCGAGGAGATGGGGAACCTTGTTGGGAGCGACACCCCTTTCCCAGCCCGCGCGGCTCACCTGGAGCCGCCCCCAAGTGCTCAGCCGGCCGACCTCCGCCCCTGGCTCTTTCTGGACGCGACGGGATCCCGGCTGGGCCTCCTGTGGCCGAGTGGGAAGCTGGACGGGGATGCGCCCTTGCGCCCAGTCCTGCTCTCCGTCTGATGGGCTGCAGGGGTCGGAAGGCCTGGTTCCCCCCCACACCCGCCGAGCAGGACTGGTCGGAATCTGGAGAACCGCCTTCTCAGGGACCAGAGGCCACAGGCGCTCCTCAGCTGCGACTTGCTCCCAGGACGCCCCCATGAGTTCCCCGCATGTGCCGCTCCCGCCCGCACTTGGGAGTCTGGGACTCGGGTTGGAAAGGGAGAGATGTTTGCCACCAGACATCACGCAGCACGGTTGATCCTGCCAAATACCTCGCTTCCTGCCTTCCTCGCGCCCACTCCCCTCATCCTGGGGGCGGACTCCGGTCCTTGAGCTTCGAGGTGACTTCACGTCCGGCCAGATCCTCACCCTCCGTCGGGTCCTGGAGAAGATGGAGGAGGATGGAGACGGGGAGGAGGACCTGCCTCATCTCTAATGTATTTCCATGCACATTTCCCACATGCTAGCAAATGCACAGAATAATTCTGTTTTAAGGAATTGTCTGTTACATCAAAAAATAATCTGGTAAAAGAATGGACACTCGGTGGAGCAAGGACGAGCAACGAAACGTGTTTCCCCGGCGCCCGGTGGTGCGGAGCGCAGCCGAGGCCCGGAGCTTTGGAGAAGGATCTGTGTTCTTTCCTCTCTTTCTCCTCGAATCGTGCAGTTCTAGGCGAGTCCCCGTACCTTTCTGTGCCTCAGTTTCTCTACCTCGAAAAGGGAGGGGATGGTTCTCCAGGTCGGCTGTCTGAGGGCGCCTGCACTTGGGCGCCTGCTGGCAGCCTCGGATGACGGGTCGGGTGTAGGGGGGCCGGGGTGACCCCGCGGAAATGCGGCCCATCCGGCCTCCTGTCTGCTCAGGGCCACGCAGCTTCAAGCACTGACTGAGCAAAGGTGAAGCGCGTGGGTGTGAAGTTGGCATCATTCCTCGAAGCTTTAGTGCTCCCTTCTGTTTGTCTTAAAAAGCAAGGGTTTCCTGTATCCCGCCGTCACCTGGGAATGAGACGGGCGTGTAGGGGCTGCACCGGGAGAGCCGGCCCGTGGTGACCAGCTCCCCGCAGGTCTGCGTCGGCGGGAGAGCCGATGGCGGGTGAGCCGGGCGGACGCTGTCACCTTAGGTTTGCAATGAATGAAGCCGAGCCTCCTGCTCCCAGCCGCGTCCCCCTGACCACGAACCACCCGGCACAGGTGGACGTCAGGAGCTCCCGAGCCCCTCGTGCCAAAGGGCGGGTCCCACCCAGAAGGTCAGGATTCCTTTCATCTGTCGGAATAGAACAGCAACCCCCCCCCTACACGCACCCCCTTCATGTCACTGCTGCACCCCGGAAAAGCTTAAGGCTGTTTTTGATATCGCTCCCGAGTCTCTCTTTGCCTTTTAAACAACCATCCCTTTCCTGTAAAATGGGACACGATCGGGAGAGAGGACGACAGCGAGACGGAGCCTGTGCCCCGGACGGGACGCATCTGTGTTTCCGTGGAAACGTCCCGGGAGCTCCCAGTGGCCGCGCGTGTCAACGGCTAAGACCTGCTTCTCGCTACGCAGCAGTAGTCCGAGCATGTGCCGCCTGATGTAGACAAAGAGGCTGTTGATGAAGTTTTCCGATATTTACTACCCTGGGTGTGTTTTAAAATAAAATAACGTTTCTAGCCGAACCCGCGTTGTCTGAAGTGTCTGCTCCCGACATGGGAGGTTTCACCTGCTTCTCACTCCTCAGTCCAGTGCTTCCCGTTTTCCTGCAGAAACAGGAGCCCGGGCCCCTCCCGACGGAGGACATGGCCACCCGTGCACGTCGTCGGGCACATCTACGAGGCAGGAAGGAAGTCGCCATGTAGTGGTTACTTTCTCTTTTAAAATGTTTTTATTGGTTTCAGACAGGAAAGTAGCCAGTATTTCCTATGCTGCACTTTGCCCCCCGGGACGGCTCTGCACCTGCCACTCTGTCCGGCTTCATCCCTTCACCTTGGTCACCGGCTCCAACCGCTAAATTCCTGGGCTTGTGCCCGACCTGGCCGGACCCTGGGGCCTGCAGGAGGCGCCGACCAGTGATTCTCTCTCCTCGTGGATGTTTCTCTCTCTCCCTCGTCCTGCCTCTCTCTGAAGTCAATTAAAAATATGTTTTTAAAAGAGTGAATTAGCCCTGGCTGGTTGGGCTCAGTGGGTAGAGCGTCCGCCGGTGGACTGAAGGGTCCCAGGTTCCATTCCCCATCAGGGCAGGTGCAGGGTTGTGGGCTCGATCACCAGTGAGGGTCGTGCAGGAGGCATTGATGTCTCTCCCTCTCCCTTCCTCTCTGAAATCAATAAAAATATTTTTTTAAAAAGAACGAATTAAACAAACTAAATGCAGTTATTCCCAGAGTCCTACCAAATGAGCCCTAAGCTGAACCCACCCCGCCCCAAGGACTTGGCCTCACCTCACTGAAGTTACACCCCACCCCCCCCAGCAATTGGTCCAGCCCTTCCGCGTTCCAAACACACCCCGCCCATAGCTCTGGACCAGCCTATCCGCGTGGTCAGTCCTGACTACAGCATTTGGTCCCACCCACAGCCCTGATCTAGCCTATCCAAGTTTTCCTCAACCCCTGGATATCCGGGCTCTGATTTAGTCCCGCCTTTAGCACTTGGTCCCGCCCATAGTCCAGCACCAGCCTATCTGCTTTGTTTACCACCCCCGGATATCCGGGCTCTGTTCTAGTTCCTCCTCCAGCACTTGGTCACGCCCATAGTCCTGGTCCAGCCTATCCACGTTGTCAGACACGCATTTGGTCCCGCCCAATCCACTTTTCCATCCTATCGGCGCTTTTCGACTACCCCGGATGTCCGGGCTCGGATCTAGTCCCTCCTTCAGAACTTGGTCCCGCCTATTACCCTGATTCAGCCTATCCGCTTTGTCTGCCACCCCAGGATATCCGGCCTCTGGTCAAATCCCGCCTCCAGCACTTGGTTCCGCCCATAACCCTGACCCAGCCAATCCGCGTTGTCTGCCACGCCCGGATATCCGGGCTCAGGTCTAGTCCCGCCGCCTAGCACTT